AAAGTAGATTCTCTAAGATGGCTCACTATGTAAGTAACAGGGCTGGCGTCAGACACCCAGAAAGGTCACACCCAGGCGCCTCTCTCCACTGTGCCCCTGAAGCCACTTTCTAGTTGAGAAACAAGTTTGGTGTGGGATGGCCAAAAAAAATGGTAAAAAGCAGATCTGTGGAATTAGGTGCGTCTCCAGATGGGCTTCCCTGGTGGCTCAGCTGGTAAAGAATCCACCTGCAATGCAGGAGACCACAGCCTGATCCCTGGGTTGGGAAGATCCCCTGGAAAAGGGAACAGCTACCCACTCCAGTATGCTGGCCTGGAGAATTCCAGGGACTGTACAGTCCATGGGATCGCAAAGAGTCGGACACGACTGAGCGACTTTCACTTTCATAGCTAGTTGGGCAGACAACTCAGGCGACACCGGACAGACCAGGAAAGTTAGCAAGAAGACAGGGAATTAGCCTGACTTGAGACAATTGTGCTCTCAGAGTCATAATCTCCACCAGGAGATTCTAGGATCTTCTGCTTTCCTCCAGAGCTGTGTGTCCCAGAGGGGAGAAGTTGCAGGGTCTATCATGGTGAACATGGAGGACCCCATGTAGGTCAGCACTGATCAGCACTTGTTTACTTTAGAAGTCAGATCTTGAAATCCAGGCCCTGGAAATATCTCCTCAGTGAGATCCCCACTTTTCAGCCACCAGCAGTCTCTGCCAACAGGAAGGTCTCAAAGCCATGCCATATCCTGGCTGCCAGACCTCAATATCAGCACACAGGGGTCATCTTTGTTTCCCTAGATACTTTGTATTAGTTATCTGCAGCTGTGTAACAAACCCTTTTTTCAACTCCAAAAGCAAATTTTTATGCATGTTACTTATACATAGGACAGCCTAAGTCTAGTGTAACCCTGAATTCTGGATTTTTAAGTGAAGCATGTCACTTAATAGAGCATGTCACTTAATAAAGCAATCTGTATAAACAAATAAATATGATTTCCTGCTGTCAAGAGTTATTTTACATAGTCATTGTTAGTGATCCAAATATCAAATATCAGAAGCTTAATGTAGTTTAATCTAACACAGATTTGTGAATATTTTCATCTAAACAAATGATCCCAACAAATGAACAAATGGTGCTTCAAATAATAACACACCACAACTTCAATAGATTTAAAAGAGAAAAAGAGAAATGAACAAAATATCCCTTTTCTGTAGATACCAGCATATGACAAGAGATATGGCAATACTGAATATTTATGAGCATCTCTGTTTGAGTCCTTTCACACATAATATTTTATTAGATCTTTACAGTATTTCCAGTGTAGATAATGTTATCCCAACTTTTATATTTGAGAAGACTGGATCTCTGAGAGGTGAAATGACTTACCCAAAACCACATAGCAAGATGACAGAATCAGCATTCTAACCTAGATATGCCTGTAGTTAGAATATCACCTGTTGCTTCTCTTTGTAAATAAAGTTTTATCGAAACACACCTATGCTCCCTTGTTTATGTGTTTTCTATGATGGATTTTAGTACTTGAAAGCAAGGCCTGGGTAGTTGCTCCAGAGTGTACAGCCCACCGAACTAAAAATACTCAGCCTTTTAGCCTGAGTAAGTCTTTTATAGAAAAATGTGCTGATCCTTGATTTAGAGAAAGATGACAAAGAAATATAAATTATGTAAGGAAAGATGAAGCTATGGAAGATATAGAACAAAGACCCACTTTGCTAAAATCTGGCATTTCAGAGAACATAATCAGGGTCAACAGAACTCCAAGGCTAACAAAATATACACAGAAAATTTCAAAGCTAGAAATACCTTAGTTCCCCACCCCACCGTCAAAAGGGCTCACATTTTTCCAAACAGCCATTCTTTAAAGAAACTCCATCTTAGAGGAATTTTTAAACTCCAGGAAAATTTTTCCTACAAATCTGAGGTGTTGATGGTAGAGGTTACCTGCAAAATAAAATTAAAATGCCACCGATCTCAGACTTCCAACTTGTTCCTGTTAAGAGGTAAGTGAAATGGAGTTTAATGAGCTTTGAGAAGAAAATGAAATAAGTCAAGAATTTTATATCCAGCCAAGGGATCATGCATGAAGCAAAGACACTCAGCTACACAAGAAGGTATAGCACCTCTACATCATCCAGGAAATTATGATCTGAAGGTACACTGGAAGTGACATCAAAATAAATAATTCAATGATAGAGAAACTAAGATTCAGGAAAAAGAGCTTTGAGTGTAGATCACTGTTATTAAACACTAAACACAAAGTTAATTTCAAATCATTTCAGTAAGAACAATTGAAAATTCAAAAATTAAAATGCCATACCAAATAAAGTATGTTATTTAAAAATAATTAGCCACCTCAAGAAAAGCAAAACAAATCTGAGGACAAAAGAATCTAAGGAATAAATGCAATAATATCAGATATCTATTAATTATACACTAAAGTAATAGCACTAGCAAAAATCATAAGAGCTTCTATATAGGAAGAAAATAAAATAGTCCACTATCAAATGCAGATTAAGAAACAAAAAATATGCAAAATTGGACATGCAAAATCAGGTACAGTCTCAGATGAGAATGAAAAATTGTCAAAATATAGGATGTGTATCTTTCTATGTGTAACTTTATAAAGATAGTTGAAAATATAATGAGATAGATGACGCTGGAAAATTGAAAACAACAAAAACTAACCCAGGAAGAATTAGAAAACTTTAGAAAACCTACAGCTATGGGGAAAACATAAGGAAAGAATGTTCCACAAAATTATCTCCCCAAAACACCCATAGGGCAAGTAATTTTGCTAGTTTTTTGCAACTTTAAGAAACAGATAATTATTATTATACATAATTTGATCCAGAGCATACATAATAATGAAAAACTCTTCCATTCATACTATAGAGATACTTCACATCCAGCTTGAAAGCTGAAAATGAATGCCACACACACAAAAAAAAGAAAACTAGATATCTGAAATCATTTATAAGAATATATGCAGTATTCTGTATCAAATACTAGCTGAATATTTCAAAAACACAGTAAAAGAATCCTAGAGCTTTTACTAGGGATATAAGGAAGGCATAATATTAATAATCTATTAATTCAATTTATCATATCACATTAAGATGCCAAAGTTGGAAGATATCATATGCATAAAAGGATCTTTGTAGAAACCAAAATAAATTTCATAAATTCAGTACCCATTTCCTTAAAAAAATATCTTAAGCATTCAAAGTCTGGAAGAGTATCTCCTGAATACTCTAAAGACTATGTTTTCTAAACATCAGTCGGTATCATATGTAATGCCTGTGTTCCAGATATAATCCCATTCAAGTCAAGATTATTGCAAGGACATCCCACCCAACCATTCAGACTTGGCATTGCCCTGTATATTCTAGGTAATGTTATGAAATGGGAAAAATGAACACAAGTTATACAAATCAGAAAGAAGAAACATGGTCATTAATCATTGATAATCATCAATTTCATAAATCATTAGATAATATATCTGGAATATCTTACATAATTAACTGAAAGAAAATATCCATAGCTTTAAACCAGTTCCGTCAATCAAATACCAGATCAGCCACCTAGACAAAGCCGGGTTACCGAATGAGCCAGCTTAGCACAAGCCACACTCAGAGGAAACACAAAAACAACATCCAAAAAGAACTGGGAAAAAATACATATCTAGTAAACGGTGCCTTTAAAAATGTCAAAGCAGTTTTATGTCATGTTCCACAAAGAAAAACTTAAAAATGTTCTTTAGGCGTCTCTGGCCCAAATTTCCATTTATTTACCTCACATATCTGCTGTCTCCAAGCCCTTGATGAAATCCCTCTCCATTACCACAAAGTTCACTCAAAATTTCCTGACCTCCACTGTTTTCAGATAGAAAAGATAAATCAATCCTTTTTTTCCAAATTAATATCTATATTGAACACAATTCAAATCGAAATCTCCATTTTTATTATTTTCCTAATTATCTCCATTATTATTATTATTATTTCATTTGGAAGATTTAAGTAAAAATTCCTAAGAAAATTTTGAAAAAGTAATATAAAATGATTCTATTAAAAAACCATAGTGATTAAAATTGAGATAATCCACTGCTAGCATCTAGACTGTAGTAGGTTTGAATAGCTAATTCTAAAGCAGGCCTGTATGTGAGTGCGTCTGTATAACCTTAATATATAGGAAAGAGTAATCAACTGTAATCCAACTGTAAAGAGAATGATGAACCAATAGATGAAGTTAGAAAAGTGACAGAATTTAAAAAGAAAAGCCCAACATCAACTCATCTCGAGCAGACTTTATTTCAGTTAAAGTTAAAAGCCAAATAAATAAAAAGGATTTCTGGAAAAGAGAGACATATTCTGAAATTCTGAATGCATTAAAAGATCCCCTAAACATAAAAGTTAAAGTAAAATTTGTAATAAAAATTCTCAGTGTGCCTTACCAAGACAAACTTTAAAACTTTACCAAATATCATTAAAAACAAAATGAAAATGCAGTGCAAGAGAAAGGATATTTACTATAAACATATCATAAACAATATTAATTGTTATCAGAAACAACATTAAATGTTATATATTGATATCAGAAACAATGTTAAATATTAATTGCTGTGCTGTGCTTAGTCGCTCAATCATGTCTGACTCTTTGCGACCCAGTGGATGGTAGCCCGCAAGCCTCTTCTGTCCATGGGGATTCTCCAGGCAAGAATACTGGAGTGGGTTGCCATGCCCTCCTCCAGGAGATCTTACCAATCAAAGGAAAGAACCCAGGTCTCCTTCACTGCAGATAGATTATTTACCATCTGAGTCAATATTAATTAAACACACACAAACATCTCAAAAGAAAAACTGGATGGAATACCTAAGCAACTTAAAGTAAAAGTATACAGAAGTGGCCAAATAAATAAAAGCCATCACTGATTACTAGCAATTTAAAACAAAATGTTAGAGCAACAAGGAGCTGGCATTTGTCCTTGATTACCTTGGAGAAGTGTGACAAGGCAGGGACCTTGCTTCATGGCCACTGGGAGACTCCCAGAGGGAAAGGCCACCGTCAACCCACAGACCCAGCAGGTTGTAGCATCAACAGCAATATCTGCTGAATGAAAGAAGAATAATTAAAGTTCCAGAGATAACATGTTCAAGAAGCTGAAAATATTTACTCATTTTTTTCTCAGTAATCTCAATCCTACAAAAGTACCTCCAGGAATGATCATATATTCAGATAAAGATATAGGTACAGGAATGTTTTTTGCAAAATAAGCTGTAATTTAAGCAAACAGAGAAAATGAAACTATCTAATAGAATAAGCTGACATTTATATGACAATCTTTTAAAAATTATATTGCCCCTAAATATTTAATGGTATAGGAAAATGATTAACGTGTTATTACTGAAAAAAAAAGAAGATATATTTATATGTACATGCCTATATATACACACAGTATTATAAAATACATATTTTGAATATACAATGTAAATATATTCAATATATGTGAAATTTAACTGTGTATACACACATACACACACACACACATATATATGAAAAAACAAATGTTAGTTTGCTCAGTCCAGCCAAGCCCTCCAAGTGGCACTCTGATTTTCATAGCTCAATTTATTCCTCAACCTCACTGTAGAGAGATGAGCTAAAAGAAGTCAAGATCAGCTTATTTGATCTACATGTAAGGTAGCTAGATTTAGCAAATAAAAATACAGGATGCCCAGTTAAATTTGCATTTCAGACACACAATGGGTAAGTAAGTCAAAGAGGCATACTTCTGCTAAAAAATTATTCATTGTGTACCTGAGATTCAAATGTAACTGAGAATCCTGTATTTTATCTGGTAGCCCTAACAGAAAACGACTGTTTAAAGAGTGGGGAGAGAAAAGCTTCAAGACAGCAGAGTGGGATGAAAATAAGGAGAATCCAAGGAACCAAGGTTTCCAGTCCTGTCTGGGGAGGTGGAAGAACAGAGGACAGGGGTGGTCTAGAAGGAGGGCAGACTGGGGCAGAGCACAGAGTGTGTGACCTTACAGAGGCAGAAGCAAGTGCCTACCGATGAAAGTCTTGACCATTCATTTTTGGATGTCAGACAAGTGTCTCTTCTGAAAGAGATATCATAACAAACCAGGCCACAAAATGGCCCAGCGAAGCACAAATGGGGCCGAGAGGAGCAGCCCCACCTCCAAGGAGAGGCGGCTGCATGGTTGCAGGAGGGCTGAGAGGAGCTGCTCCACGTTCAAGGTCAGGAGGGGTGACCACGAGGAGATACCCCTCGTCCAAGGTAAGGAGCAGCGGCTGCGCTTTGCTGGAGCAGCCGTGAAGAGATACCCCACGTCCGAGGTAAGAGAAACCCAAGTAAGACTGTAGGTGCAAGAGGGCATCAGAGGCAGACAGACTGAAACCATAATCACAGAAAACCAGCCAATCTGATCACAGGACCACAGCCGTGTCTAACTCAATGAAACTAAGCCATGCCGTGTGGGGCCACCAAAGACGGTCGGGTGATGGTGGAGAGGTCTGACAGAATGTGGTCCACTGGAGAAGGGAATGGCAAACCACTTCAGTATTCTTGCCTTGAGAACCCCATGAACAGTATGAAAAGGCAAAATGATAGGACACTGAAAGAGGAACTCCCCAGGTCAGTAGGTGCCTAATAGGCTACTGGAGATCAGTGGAGAAATAACTCCAGAAAGAATGAAGGGATGGAACCAAAGCAAAAACAACACCCAGTTGTGCATGTGACTGATGATAGAAGCAAGGTCCAATGCTGTAAAGAGCAATATTGCATAGGAACCTGGAATGTTAGGTCCATGAATCAAGGCAAATTGGAAGTGGTCAAACAGAAGATGGCAAGAGTGAATGTTGACATTCTAGGAATCAGCGAACTAAAATGGACCGGAATGGGTGAATTTAACTCAGATGACCATTATATCTACTACTGTGGGCAGGAATCCCTTAGAAGAAATGGAGTACCACTGCAATATTGTAAAGTAATTAGCCTCCAACTAATAAAAAAATTAAAAATTTTTTAAAAAAAAGAAATGGAGTAGCCATCATGGTCAACAAAAGAGTCCAAAATGCAGTACTTGGATGCAATCTCAAAAACGACAGAATGATCTCTGTTCATTTCCAAGGCAAATCATTCAATATCACGGTAATCCAAGTCTATGCCCCAACCAGTAATGCTACAGAAGCTGAAGTTGAATGGTTCTATGAAGACCTACAAGACCTTTTAGAACTAACACCCAATAAGTATGTCCTTTTCATTATAGGGGACTAGAATGCAAAAGTAGGAAGTCAAGAAACATTTGGAGTCACAGGTAAATTTGGCCTTGGAGTACGGAATGAAGCAGGGCAAAGGCTAATAGAGTTTTGCCAGGAGAACGCACTGGTCATAGCAAACACCCTCTTCCAACAACACAAGAGAAGACTCTACACAGGGACATCACCAGATGGTCAACACCAAAATCAGATTGATTATATTCTTTGCAGCCAAAGATGGAGAAGCTCTATACAGTCAGCAAAAACAAGACTGGGAGCTGACTGTGGCTCAGATCATGAACTCCTTATTGCCAAATTCAGACTGAAATTGAAGAAAGTAGGGAAAACCACTAGACCATTCAGGTATGGCCTAAATCAAATCCCTTATGATTATACAGTGGAAATGAGAAATAGATTTAAGGGACTAGATCTGATAAGAGTTCCTGATGAACTATGGACAGAGGTTCATGACATTGTACAGGAGACAGGGATTAAGACCATCCCCATGGAAAAGAAATGCAAAAAAGCAAAATGGCTATCTGAGGAGGCCTTACAAATAGCTGTGAAAAGAAGAGAAGTGAAAAGCAAAGGAGAAAAGGAAAGATATTCCCATTTGAATGCAGAATTCCAAAGAATAGCCAGGAGAGATAAGAAAGCCTTCCTTAGTGATCAATGCAAAGAAATAGAGGAAAACAACAGAATGGGAAAGACTAGAGATCTCTTCAAGAAAATTAGAGATATCAAGGGAACATTTCATGCAAAGATAGGTTCAATAAAGGACAGAAATTGTATGGACCTAACAGAAGCAGACGATATTAAGAAAAGGTGGCTAGAATACACAGACGAACTGTACAAAAAAGATCTTCACAACCCAGATAATCACCATGGTGTGATCACTCACCTGGAGCCAGACATCGTGGAATGTAAAGTTAAGTGGGCCTTAGAAAGCATTACTATGAACGAAGCTAGTGGAAGAGATAGAATTCCAGTTGAGCTATTTCAAATCCTGAAAGATGATGCTGTGAAAGTGCTGCACTCAATATGCCAGCAAATTTGGAAAACTCAGCAGTGGCCACAGGACTGGAAACAGTCAGTTTTCATTCCAATCCCAAAGAAAAGCAATGCCAAAGAATGCTCAAACTACCTCACAATTGCACTCATGTCACACGTTAGTAAAGTAATGTTCAAAATTCTCCAAGCCAGGTGTCAGCAATACATGAACCGTGAACTTCCAGATGTTCAAACTGGTTTTGGAACAGGCAGAGGAACCAGAGACCAAATTGCCAACATCTGCTGGATCATCAAAAAAGCAACAGAGTTCCAGAAAAACATCTATTTCTGTTTCATTGACTATGTCAAAGCCTTTGACTGTGTGGATCACAATAAACTGTGGAAAATTCTGAAAAAGATGGGAGTACCAGACAACCTGACCTGCCTCTTGAAAAACCTATATGCAGGTCAGGAAGCATCAGTTAGAACTGGACATGGAACAACAGAATGGTTCCAAATAGGAAAAGGAGTATGTCAAGGCTGTATATTGTCACCCTGCTTATTTAACTTATATGCAGAGTACATCATGAGAAACGCTGGGCTGGAGGAAGCACAAGCTGGAATCAAGATTGCTGGGAGAAATATCAATAACCTCAGATATGCAGATGACACCACCCTTACGGCAGAAAGTGAAGAAGAACCAAAGAGACTCTTGATGAAAGTGAAAGAGGAGAGTGAAAAAGTTGGCTTAAAACTCAACACCCGGAAAACTAAGATCATGGCAGCCGGTCCCATCACTTCATGGCAAATAGATGGCTAAACAGCGGAAAGAGTGTCAGACTTTATTTTTGGGGGCTCCGAAATCACTGCAGATGGTGATTGCAGCCATGAAATTAAAAGACGCTTACTCCTTGGAAAGAAAGTTATGACCATCCTACATAGCATATTAAAAAACAGAGACATTACTTTGCCAACAAAGGTCCGTCTGGTCAAGGTTATGGTTTTTCCAGTGGTCATGTATGGATGTGAGAGTTGGACTGTGAAGAAAGCTGAGCACCGAAAAATTGATGCTTTTGAACTGTGGTGTTGGAGAAGAGTCTTGAGAGTCCCTTGGACTGCAAGGAGATCAAACCAGTCCATCCTAAAGGAGATCAGTCCTGGGTGTTCATTGGAAGGACTGATGCTGAAGCTGAAACTCCAATACTTTGGCTGCCTCATGCGAAGAGTTGACTCATTGGAAAAGACCCTGATGCTGGCAGGGATTGAGGGGCAGGAAGAGAAGGGGACGAGAGAGGATGAGATGGCTGGATGGCATCACTGACTTGATGGACATGAGTTTGAGTAAACTCCGGGAGTTGGTGATGGACAGGGAGGCCTGGCGTGTTGCAATTCATGGGGTTGCAAAGAGTCAGACACAACTGAGCGACTGAACTGAACTGACTGAAGCACAAATGACCTAGAAATGCAAAGTGAAAAGATTGACAGAAATAATACAAGCATCTCAGGGGATGGAGAGAGAGGACTTCTGTGGGTCTTTTTTTTTTTCCTACATTCGTCCAGATTTTCTGCAATAGATACGATTAATTTTGCAAATAGGACATACACGGAGCCTGACCTCAACATGCAAATGTTTGTCAGCTTCCCAGGGTTGATCCCACCAGTGAGAGAGGGCCCCCCTGGGCATCCTGGGTCACGATGCCAACTGCCGAACTGCCCCTGCTGGCCCACAGGTGCTCCTAAGAGAACAGCCTTGCTGTCCCTCAGAGTCTGAAACCCGAGTCTGAGGCTTACGGGTGTGAAGAAATGAGACCCCTGGAATGATCATTGCATATCATATCACT